GACAGGTTTTAAAACTTTATTTAACACATGTATAATTATGTAAGCAGTTTCAGGTGTATAATGAGTGTGATGAAGGATGTATTGAATGTGACTTTTTTATTTATTTATTTTAAAATTGTGTTATGAAGCCATAACAGGATTGTAAACTGAAACCAACAGGTTTAATGAATGATAGTGTTAGTATTGCAGTTAGCAAGTTTCATTTCATGTAAAAGTTTGCCATAACTCTTCTTGAGGATAGCATAGATGAAGAACATGCCGAATATTTTAGTCAGAAGATACTTGGTTAGAATCCTCCAGAGGAGGTTCACATAAATGAATAGTGGCAGATTCTCTGGATGAAGATCAAACAAGGCAGAGGAGAAGTGTAAGTATTTATATTTTATGTGTTCTATATTATTAGATATTATAGCTGTGTAAGGAATAAGATGAAGATTAACGTATGCGGAGATTGTGCTGTGTGTTTATCTGCATATTCAGCTCTCAAAGCATTTGATGGATGTGGATGAAATTTGGTATGGGATATCTGTTAGAAATGTGCATGTAGATTGTAGTTCTATTGACAATAGAGAATTAGAAGTCTAAATGAGGGTACTTTATTTTTAGGATAATATAAGTTATTTTAAAGAAGTAGGGTTTACTGGATTCATATAAAGCTTGGAGAGTGAAAGAGGTGTGTTTAACTTTTGTATTCTAAAATGAACACTCGTCTCATATTAATACAAAATAGAAAGAACTGTTTGAACATAAGCTGCGTTCTTTAAAAACAAAAACTTCACCATTTCATTATAACAGAAGCATCCTTTTCACATCTGTGGCACTGAAAATTCAGATTTGTGTATTCTCATCAAAAGGGGAATGTTGCCATATGTCTCAGATTCAGTAACATTTTACTCAAACCAAGCATGAAATAGCATTTTTTCATAGTATGCTTATGTCTTATTTTTATTGAAGGAGATTACCTCAGAAATATTTAGTGTTTGTTTCTGGAGACTGTATGCTGTGTTTACTTTGTCATATGCCATTTTTAATATAATGATTTTTTTTTATTTTACAAAATTCAATGTCAGCATAGAGATAGTGTCTTTATGTGTCATAGTGGCTGCAAGGCTGCAAAGCTGCAAAGTAGAAGCTTTCGATTGTAGATCTAGAGATGAGATCTACTGTTAAGGGTGTCTACAGGGGCAAATGTTGCTTCTGATGCACATCATATCAAAATCTTTCTTCCCCAGGAAGTCTGGAAGTTTGCCTGGAATCCTGATAAGTGTGTGGATTTGTGTGGAATTATAAGTGATTCGGTTGCCATCCAGCAGTTACAGTTTCATAAATGATTATAATCACATCAAGGATTTATCTATATTTTTATGAGTAAATCTTTTAATGTGTGTTACTAACAATGAGATGGCATCACACTTGTGTAAGTGTTCTCAGGTGAAAAGGTTGGGATTTTCTATAATTATGAGTAATTTCATACATACCATTTGACACAGTGAAATATTTACTTGATGTACTATTGTTCAATAACATGAAGCCGTCGTCCATTATTTTTTAATTATATGCATTTATTCTATATTGTTTTGTTCTAAAACAAAGTTGTCTGTAGGCTGATGTAAGGAGGTCAGCAACATAGTCTCCTAACCTAAAGGAAGGACATAGATTGAGGTCTGAGAAGAGGGTGATTTTTGGAGGTAGTTTCCTGTGTTAATATGTTTACTGGATTGTTCTTTCAGCTCTCAAATTTCTCAGATTTAAAGAAATTGTTCATTTCTCCAAGAGTATTATGCATCCAGTGTCATTAAGCCCAAATGTTGATCTGCTTCTAGGGTTCATTGTCAACAAGCAAACCTAAAAGAAGGAGAATGAGCAAGAAAGACCCTGTATGTGATTTGGAAGGAAAGGATATGAATCTCAGATCAAACTATTTTGTGGGAATTCAGGTGTCAAATCCTGAGGTACATTATCAGTATTATTGCTTCAGTCAAATGTTGCTCATATAGGATGTAGCTATAGTGAAATCCCGATCTAAAATTTTTAAGGGGGCATTGCATTTTAAAATTTAATTAAAGAAATGGAAGAAATTAACACCATGTAACCGAACTACATCTGAAATATTAAATGAAGAAAATATTAAACTGACAAATAAATTACTGGTAACATGTTAAATGCATGTTGTGAAATGTGTATATGAGTAACAAACTTACATATTTCGTGAAAGACCTAGAATTCCACAAAGTTTAAGGGACATGAACATTTATTAAGCTGGCTTGTAGGAAGAAAAATAGTTTAATAGGATAGTGCCAGTTGTCTCTGTTTTTCTTTCTTCATATTTTTCTCAGTAAATGCTTGGATAATATATTTAGATATTCCATTCCAAATTCTTTCATTTTTTATTGTTTTCCTCTTTCACTCCATGTTATGTATCTTCAGCAGTTGAAACACAGTTGTTAAATAACTGAAGGCTAATCAAAGAATAATACTGATGATATTCTGAGTTATGTCATATAGTATTTTGGCTGCAAAGGAATATACTGCCTCCATTATTAGGGCTGAAGTGAAGTATATGTTGGGAATTACATTAAAACACAGTGTTGTTCTTTTATGCTATCTAGATCCACCGTATGGTGAAAATAGTTCAAGAGGCAATACTTAGCAAACAGCCAGCTCTGCGTACTGCAGTGGTGCCAATACCTACACTTCACATAACATTAGCTGTGGCACACTTACCAGATATGGAGCATATTAGCAGGTTAGCTCTTCAGCAAAATTATTATGTTTGAAGAATAATTATGTGTTTTTGTATGATTTTCAGCAAAAAGTTTTATTGGTTGTATGTCAATGCTTTACAAACAGTCCACATAACTGTGCATTAGCATACTGCTAAACCCTGGCTGGCAGTCCCTTAGTTTGGGGATTTAAATCCCTTATATCCAGGTGATAAGGATTAACTTAACAAGAACAATAGTTTATTTTCTTGAATACAAGAATGAGGCTTGATGTATGTCATTTCTTTCAACAAATGTGTTTGAAGATGCAGAATTCATGCCTGCATATTAATACTTTTTTTTGTCAATGGAATAAAATAAAGTTATGTTGTTTTATTGACATAGGTTTGAAGTGGTTATGATAAAAAATTGCCAGAAATTGACCCCATTTGCTCACAGCCAGTTTATGTAACTTTCTAGAGTCATACCTTCAGCCACAGTATTTTCAGATTTATCGTAAATATATGAATGCTATTAGAAAATAATCCTAGGAATCCTTCAGGTCTGAAATATTCCTGTTTGCTATTATTAATCAAGTTTCAGACTAAACATTGGATACAACACCCTCTTTGACTTGGTCCTTCAATACCTAATCCGTGTTTCATTGTTGCACATCAGTGAGATCCAGGGGTTCTCACTGTTGCATTACAATGACCTGGGATCACATTAGTGTAAGAATGGCCTAAGGTGCAAGAATGGCCTAAGGTGCAAGAATGGCCTACATGATATGGAATGTCATTCTATTCCTTTCCAGTCATATTAAGGTAATGTCACAGCATTTGTCTGGATTTACTAAGGGAAACCATGGAGAACCTCACAGAAGTTGGTTTTTGAGTTGAGAATTGAACCTAAGTCCTTCCAAAATAGGAGTTCTAACCACTCAGCTTTAATGTTTGGTCCTGGGTATGGCAACCAACAGTCTTTCACTAAAATGACACAGAATTTCAGAAGAAAGTCAACTTTAATGTGTTACAGAGTTTCATACATAATTTTACATAACTGTGTCTTGCTGCAAAATAAAGCAAATGATTAACATGCACATTTAGTGAATTTTTTTTGTAGTTTTGTAGCCGTGGTTTTTAGGAATGTTAAACATAGGTTGCAAGGAGCTGTCAGTTTTATTAAAATCATATGTAAGTACAGAACTTAAAACATCATTGTCTGTAGAATATAACATATGTAAATAAATATCTGTATGTAATTTTTCAGAGCAGCTGAGGTGGTAGAAAATTGTGGCTCCATTCACAGAGGATTCTTCAGTAAGCCTGCTTCTTTGCATTTCAGTGGTCTTAAGACATTTGGAAATAAAGTAAGAAACTGATTTTCTGTATAACCTGAAAATGTAAGTTTAGGAGTATGCCATTCAGCATTTGTCGTTATTAAAACAGGCATCACGGTTTGAAAATTACAGTAGCTTGACTGCCAGTGGTGGTCATAAAATTTCATCTGGCCACTTGTTTCCCACTCGGTGTCCAGGAGTTGGCATATTATTATGAACCACCAAAATTTTTCAAAATGTTACTTTCTGTTTAATAACAGGTTTCTGGAACTCTTGTCTTCCAAACAGATTAATCAGATATATTGATGGATATTGTGTGAAAGGGGTGTTTTCAAAACAGTACCATCTGCTCAAATCATCTAAATTTGTGATGCTGTCACTGGTACTTCTGTTCCTCCTGTAATATATGATGTATGCTCATAAAATACACTTGTTTGAAGATATTTAAAAGTTTATTTTAACATTAACTTTCAAAACTTGTGGAGTAAGATTCTGAATTTGATTATAATGTAATGCGAAAAAACTTAATATGTACTTATGGTGGTTTGTGTTAGCTCCTGAGTTTGTTTGGTTTAAAATACAGGTAAACCTCGATTTATGCCAGGGATGCGTTCCTGGATGAACCGGTGTAAATGGAATCGGCATAAATTGAGACTCTTTTTATAATGTCAATGGGAAGTCAATGACATGATGACATGCGTTCGAGGTTTACCTGTATATGTGCCCTTTGTTCCTAGTAAAAATTAATTTAAATGCCCTTCAGCACTGAGGGGTTAAACAAGTCAATAATTTTCTTCATTTAAACATGTTATTTGAACTCCATGACTGTCGCAGTTGCTATTACGTAGCATTACTGAGAACATTCAGTTTCTGTAATTTGTGTTTCATATCATTGTGGTAAGTTCCCCATCCTTTTACTGCTGTACCAGGTTCTGTTTGCTAGTATTCAGCAAGGTGAGGCATTAGAAGAGGTGCAGATGATGGCCAGTGATTTAGAGACTTCATTTCAAGAACTGACAGGGTCACCCACAAAGAAAGGTTTTAAACCTCATCTGACAATTCTAAAATTGTCCAAGGATTTTAAACTTAGAAGGAAGGTACAGTATGCAGTCATTAACTTTCTATTGATGTGTTGGGATGAGTGTTGTAAAAGTATAATTTTATAGATGATTATTCTGAAGTATTAAGAGGATCTTTAGTTGATATCAGTTTCATTCCTTGTAGTTTACAGTGAAGGAAATCATAAATCCAATGAATACCCAAAAATTAGGTTCAGAAAGTTTTGAACTTAGTTTTCCAAGAAGGAAGTAAACTTTTCCAGAATTTAAAGAAAGCAACTTTGAATATTAAATTACATGATTACAGGGTATCCCAAAAATCTCCAGCAGTTTGTACTTGGACATGACCGACACAGTATTTGGGAGTCAGGTTGTTCAAGGCATTCAGCTCCTTTCCATGAACAAACCTAAGGATGGCAATGGTTATTATTACTGCAGTCATCAGGTTGCATTTGGTCAGTGGTTTCAAGTTGTTGTAGACTGTATAACATAATTATTGATACAGATGCGTCATTCACTAACATAATGAATAGTTCAGATTTACGTAGCATAGTCGTTTATTATTGTTTTAAATATGCATCATATCAGAAATTGTTTCCACCACCTTGAGAACCTCAAATCCTACAAAAAACACATTTTCTGAATTTAATCTTTTTCCAGATGTGTCATGCCTTGAGTCAGGTGATCATTCAGAATGCTGCAAGAAACCTTTGTCAGTGAAACCAAACCTGGACAATGTATCACAGTTGCAGTGCACTGTAAAACATGAGAAAGGTGTGATTAAACGAAGGTTCCACTCCTTGAGTCTGGCAAGGCTTTCATCTGTGTTTGGCAGGACAAGTGAATCCTCAGACAATGCAGATGACAAGGACGTGTTAATGACTCTGTGGATTGTCAGTGCTGCATCTGCTGCCATCATAGCTGCTGTGCGGAGGATATTGGCCAGCAAATGAACTGAATGGTACGTTTCATATTGAGTAAGATAATAAGAAATAAGGCAGAGCTTGCAAGTTGTAGGTGAAAGGCACCATATGTGGTCTCCTTTTGTTAAAATAGTTATTTTTGTGTAATAAAAGTATCGGTTTGTTAAAATAGAGGAATTTACAGTAGGCACTGTATTTATGTGTGTAAAACTTTATAATTAATTATGGGAAATAAGAAGTCATTCAATCCAGAGTGGTATAAAATGTCTGTAAGGCCGTTAGTAGCTCCTGTTATAAAGCCCTGATTCTTACTTTTAACGGCTGCGACATATGTGACTACTCTCTTTGTTTTGGATTTTATCCATTGTCTGTCTTTTAAGGGCCTCAGAACCTTTCAGGGGTTGGATATTCCTTTATCGTTACATAGAAAGGTGGGGGTGTTGGTGATCACCTCTTCTATGGAAGAGATCAAGAATAGCTTGGTCTACTGAATCCAACAGACTAGGTATCTCCCCCAACCCTTCATCTGTTTCCTAAGAAAAATCCATCCTCCGAAATGTAACGAGTTTTAAGTTTTAAGTCTTCTAAAAGTACAGGTGATGGGTAAGTCCAAAACAAAGAAAGTAGTAATATAAGAGCAATTTCAAGGACATTCAGAGAAGAATTGGAATCACTAGATGAAACATGCCTGTGTCATTTCTTGATTTCTTCTTGCCTGTTATTCACCATAAGTGTTCGACAGATTTCTTTGTAGCATCCTCTGATTCCATCACTTTCATTGCAACAGGATTAAATTTGCTATTGTTTAAATGACTTCTGTAAGGAGACAATGCTGGACTGACACCTGAGAGGATAAACACAGACTGCAGGGGTGACTGTGTTGTTTGTCATAGTCTTGGGTGCCTGAGGAATATTGTGTGTCAGGTTACCGTTGGAAGTAGATACATTTTATGGTTTGGAAGTTTGATTCTCATGAACAGAAAACTCACAATCTTGGATGAAGGTTTTGTGGAAATGGAAAATACCAGTCTTTTTACATATATTTATTTGCTGTTTATAAGAAGCAGCCATGAAATAATCCTTGTCTAACCCTGTATTTAAAATATTCACTAAATATGTGGGCTTAAATATGGAGAACTATAAATAGCATGGAAAACTTTAGAAACCCATGCAATGTTTTGAAGTTAGAAATTTAAGAATATCAATATAACAGGTGTGTGAATTATGCAAAGGATCATCATTAGTTTCTAGTACTTAGTATGTAAAAACATATGTCCATACAGTTCAGATACTCATTTAGAATTCTGAAACACAACACAAAATGTTTTAAGAATTAACAAGTCTCATGCTGAAGCTTGGCACCGATATGCATCTCAGCACATAAAACATTCTGCCTCAAAGTATTGTCTTGCCATTCAAAATCTGTTTACAGTGGACAATCAGAGGTGAATGCTTTGGTGTATCTTGTAATGTGCTACCATACCACTATAACTAGAATAACTCCTTGAGAACCTGATTATTACATAGGTAGTCAAGGAAATTCCCACCTTTTATTGAACTAAAAGTTCATTATTGTGTTTGCAACAGCCTGTCACTGGACCCTATCCTGAGCTAAATATATCCATCGTACATCGTCACATTCTATTTATTTAAGGTTCATTTTAATATTATGCTTCTGTCTTTACCTAGGTTTTTCAAGTGGTATATTTATTTCTAGTTTTCTGGTTACATTCTGTGTATATATTTTTTATCTCTTTCTCATTTTTGTTGCATGTTTAGTCATCTGCGATTTCATCAACTGTATAATATTTGGTCAGGGGTAAAAACTGTGACGCTCGTTCTCCTCTCTACCTGTCCTCAAACACCATCACTCTACTGGGTGAGAGACACGTGTCAGTTTCATACAGAAGAAAATATAAAAATTATAGTTTTTATATTTTGTAATTATTATTCTGACATTCCATCACTTATTACGCATTACTACCAAGGTCTGCTGTTTTGTTGCACCGTCATATTACTGCAGAATTTCACTGGTCATTTTAGAACATGTCTGAAGATTTCTGTCTTCTGGGTTGTTGCGCTGTGTAGTCTGGTAGATGTTTACCAACGTTTCAGAGGTCGTACTGCCTCCGTCATCAGAAATGATGGTAAACATCTACCAGACTACACAGCGCAACAACCCAGAAGACAGAAATCTTCAGACTCACCTCTGTGAAAACCTCAAATCTTTCATTTCTGAATTGTCACTCAGTCATCACTTTAGCCCTGGCAGCTAAAGCCGCTTGTTCTTCTGAAACATTGGTACCTACCTACCATTAATTATGCATGACATTGCTACCCACGAGACAATCTTCAACATATTCAAGGCGGTGAGAACCTCATTTGTCTTCAGGTTTGTTTCAACAAACACTGCTCATGCAAATCTGTGTACTTTCACAGTGCAAGCGTTGTGATATGTTGATTTTGCTTATGGTTTTTTGCCTTTAAAATTTTTCATATCTTTATATAGTCACATCATGGAAATTTGACTTGTGTAAGCAAAGTAGCATTGAAATTAACCTGATGACAACTGCATGACAATAGAAAGATGTTTTGAAGTGACACCAATAAAATACTGCAGTAAAGCAATAAGTGTTGATGTGCGATGAACACTAGTAGTGTTGTGTAATAAGTGACAGTATCGGAATAGTGATTATATTATTAAATATCACAATATAAGATTATGTTATTGAGAAGCATTTTGTATAATCTGCAACCTACTAGCAACAGTAAGACATACCATCACATTAAAAAGTGAGGGTACATTTCCAGTTTATATTTTTTAGCTTACTGATTTGTGTTAAGGTGAGTAAGTTTGTACAGTAATCGTCACTCATCGTTCCCCTGGTTGAACCATTCGTTCAAATGTTCCTCAAGAGTCTGCACCTTTTGCTCTATACTGTCCAGCCTATCGGTCAAGTGTCGCTCTGATTCTTCTGACTTCTTGTCTATAATGTCCATGGCAGATTTCAGAACACTGCGATCCATCATACAGCAACCACCAGGAAGTCCACAGCAATCCAGCTCTGTGGCCACTTCATTGTCAGGTTTTTTCTTCAGATAAACTGCGCTAGAAAAGGCGATAATTCTGTGGCCAAGATTAGGGAGTACCTTTAATTCATTGTTGGGTAATGAATTTGGAAAAAGAAATACATTCTTGAATAAGTTTCGTACACATCTGAGTTTTGGGTTAATATATTTCGGCCAGCAACAACACTGATATTTTTTTTCCATTGGGCAGGGGCATGACAGGGGGTCTCCAAGCAGCATGGTCTCAAAGTAAAAGATTGTTTCAATCATGGATTCAATGCTGACTAGTTCTGCGTCATTTTTAATGGCCTGTGTGTCACTCACTGCGAGGCCATTGAGCAGGTTAACCATTACTAGAGGTACTAAAAACACAAATAAAATAAATATTACATAACTGAGACCAGGCACAAGATAAAATGGTACACTGGAGATGTCGAATTCACCCATTAACATTATAAGTGTTTTGAACAAGGACATGAATGGTTGCTGAAAGAAGTTATCTTCACTGTCATTCTCTCTAGGTGTTATGCTGT